TTTTTCTCCCATCAATTTTTAATCAATAAGAGATTTTCCTGTGAAAAACTTGAGTCATTGTTGGTTCTATTGTTTTGGTTGATGGTTTTATTAAATCCAATTTTTTTAGGATAAACTTTTTCATTAAAAATTTTCTTTTAAAGATTTTATTTTGTCCTTTTTCTCCCCAAAGCCCCCTGATACATAGTTGTGTACTTTTAGTTGTGGGTCATTCCAGTTGTGGCACGTGGGACGCTGTCTCAGTGTGGCCTGATGAGCAGTGCCATGTCTGTGCCCAGGATCCGAACTGGCGAAACCCTGGGCTGCCAAAGCAGAACGTGCGAACTTAACCACTTGGCCACAGGGCTGGCCCCCTGCATTCAAAAATTATACACAAGAACCAGCCCTGATGGCCTGTCAGTTAAAGTTCAGCTCGCTCTGCTTTAGCAGCCCAGATTCAGTTCCCAGGTGCAGAACCATGCCACTTGTCTGTCAGTAGCCATGCTGTGGCAGTGGCTCACATAGAAGAACCAGAACTTACAACTATATGAAACTACCTACTGGGGCATTGGGAGGGAAAAAGGAAGAAAAAAGGAGGAAGATTGGCAACAGATGTCAGCTTAGGGTGAATCTTCCCCTGCCAAAAACCAAAAAACACAGTGTCTTTTCTTTCTATACTCAGTTTTTCTTATGTAGCAAATTTTATTTCAAGAGTGAAGTAAAAGTTAGATAAAAGATTGATTTTACTCACTGTCCACTGAGATAGTGGACATATATTGGTTACTTCTCCCTGTGGTATGAGGATGTGAGTTCTGGATCAGCAGCTGCCATTTTGCTACCCTAAAGGGGAGCCATGACTGGGGAGGCTGCCATATGGAACCTGATGAAGGAACCAATACCACAGAAGGTGGAATATAGAGAAAACAAGAAGCCTTGCTGCCGTCATCTGAGATGCAGGATCTAGTCCCACCTGAAATTTATATCTGGATTTTTAAGTTCTATAGAACATTAAATTACCTCTATTTTTTAAAATTTTTATTGAGTTTATGATAGTTTACAACCTTGTAAAATTTCAGTTGTACATTGTTGTTTGTCAGTCGTGTTGTAGGTGCACCCCTTCACCCTTTGTGCCCACCCCCACCCCCACCCCCCTTTCCCCTGGTAGCCACTAATCTGTTCTCTTGTCTATATGTTTAACTTCCACCTATGAGTGGAGTCATACAGAGATTGTCTTTCTCTATCTGGCTTATTTCACTTAACATAATTCCCTCAAGGTCCGTCCATGTTGTTGTGAATGGGACGATTTTATTCTTTTAATGGCTGAGTAGTATTCCATTGTATACGTATACCACATCTTCTTTATTCAGTCATCAGTTGATGGGCAACTAGGTTGCTTCCATGTCTTGGCTATTGTAAATAACGCTGCAATGAACATAGGGGTGCATGGGACTTTTGGAATTGCTGACTTCAAATTCTTTGGATAGATACCAACAGTGGGATGGCTGGGTCATAGGGTATCTCTATTTTTATAAATTCCCTCTATTTTTAAGCCAGTTTGAATTATATTTTCTGACATTAGCCCCACAGAGTCCTAACTGATTCAGCTAATTCACAATAAAATTGTATTCCCCTCAGATATTCCATAGATGCCATTCACTTCACTGGCAGCTCTTCCTCTCCTATGTAACCTCCTGTTTAGATTCTGTGACTAACACAACGAATTTCCAAATTGTAGGATGCAAATCTGAGGTGGGCAAATCCACCTCAGAGGCCACTTGCTTGTTACAATGTGTAACCTTGCCAAAGTTGGTTCAATTTGGTCATGATCATAGCTTGTCCTTTTATTTAAGACTAGACTGGGCATTTAGACTATCAGGGCAAAAACATAGAATGTTGTACATTGGTTTCATTCTCTCAGACCTATAGCCATAGATAGCTACAGGCTCAGAGCTCAGCCTCACAGCTTCACTCACTTCTCACTCAGCTTCAGTAAGAAAAGTCCCAGGGAAGAATGCTGGAGGGACCCAGCTTGGGTCAATCATTTTGAGCTTGGGTCACATGCTTTCCTCTTTGCAGCCCCCACTGGAACCAAAAGAAGAGTTTTCAGGGGTCAATATATAGGAGACAAGCAGATAGAGGAAAAAATAACACCATTAGTACTGATAAAGATGTTTCAATATGTACTTTAATACTTTAATCAGTACATTACTGATACTTTAATCAGTATCAGTACTGATAAAGATGTAGCGTTAGTTCTGGTCAAATGGGCTTTTTTATAATTCACCTCTGACTTGCCTTGTCTCAGAGGGGTTTCCTGTGTGGCAGAGACCAGAGAGGAACACGTGCCCTCTGCAGGTAAGCAGATAGCCAAACAGAACCCAGGTGAGGCTGAGCCACAGCATGTTCCTTCTCCCAAAAACATTTCGTTAATTATCAGTGCCATTAATAGAACATTTCCATTTATTCTTCTGGGAACCTGGCGAGTTCCCTCTTGAAGTTTGGTGCAGGCATGTGGCTTGTTTGGACCTCACCTATGACTGGAAGTGGTGTATGTCACTTCTAGGTGGGAGCTTTAAGAACTAGTGCTTGATTTCCCACACTGTCTCTTTTTCCCTTTGACATGGCAATTGGTAAAATTCCAGACAGTTTCCTGCTCCATTAGCCTGTGTTCTGGAATAGGACCACACGGAGAAGAGCCCCAAGACAACAGGCAGTGACATGGAGCTGAGCAACAAAGAACTCTTTGCTGTGTTAAGCTATTGAGATTTTCAGGTTGTTTGTTACTACAGCATAACGTGGCCCATCCTGACTGCTACCTCCACCAATCTGATAAGGCACTCTGCCTCTTTGCAGGAGGAGTGAGTAAGAAGTGACCAGAGAGGTTAGCGGTTTTCTCCTATCTACATGGAAGTATGAATCAGGAATAAATACTCTTTCATGACACATATTATTGAAATGAGGAAGGAAGAGCATTCCCAAAAAGAAGGATGGATCAGTCAGGATTATGGTTATAAGCAAAAGAATGCAACCCTGCTGATTAAGCAGAAAATGGTGTTTGTGGAGAGGATATTGGGTAGTCACTGAATCTCCAGGAAAGCTGGAAAGTCAGACTTGCAGAACAGGTAGGAGCGAGGAGGTAACATAACCAGGGCACCACCAAGATCACCCTGAAGAGCTGGTCAGGCAAAGACTCACTGTTGCCACAACCTGGCACAGGGTGCCATGGCTGGCACTGACAACACTGTCTGCACTGCTGCCAAGAGTGCCCGAAAGGGATGCTGCTGCTTGTACCACTGACACCGCTGCTCCTGGCACTGCTGCCACCATCACAGATTCTCCACTGTCCCTGCTCTTTGGATCACTGGCTCCCAAGTTTAAGTCCAGGGAGATCGTGTCTATTGGATTGATCCTAGGTCCTGTACTCAGTCTACATTGAAGGTTGGGAAAGTGAACATTTGGCTCTTTTTACTTCTGCAGTTGGAAATGGGCTGCTACGGGCTGAATATTTTTGTCCTCCCAAAATTCATATGTTGAAATGTAATCCCCAATGTGATGGTATTTGGAGATAGGACCTTTGTGAGGTGTTTAGGTCATGAGGGTGGGGCTCTTATGAATGGGATTAGAGCCCTTATAAAAGAGACACCAGAGAGCTCCCTTGCCCCTTCTACCAGGTGAGGACACGGCGAGAAGACGGCATCTACAAACCATGACTCAGGCCTTCACCACACACCGAATCAGAACATCCTGATCTTGGACTTCCCAGCCTCTAGAATAGTAAGAAGTAAGTTTCTGTTGTTTATAAGCCACCCGGTCTATGCTATTTTGTTATAGGAGCCTGAAGGGACTAAGACTGGGCAGTGTCCCCCAAGGAGGACTCAAAGTGAGGAATCTCTCAACAGTATGAAAGGACTTCAAATGGTTGAGGATCCAAATTAAAAGTCAGATGCTCACATCAAAGGGCAGAGATGCTCCCAAAAGGAGGAAGAAGAGCTAGTCAAATAGAACAAATGAATGTCCACGATACAAGGACAGTAAGATAAAGCACAACCATCTAGATTAATATAGATCAGAATGTGCTTGGGGACTGTAGGGATATATAAATTCAGCGGTTGAGATTAGGGAATTCTCATCCACATGATGGCATGTGAGCTCAGCCTTGAAGGATGGTGCCCTTACATAGAGTTATCACCCCATAGGACACTCTCTGGGTAATCTGCCAAACTCTTCTCCCTGGAGACCATCATCCACCCAAGGATGGGTTCCCAGAAGCCATATTCTGCTACATGGTGCTGACCCCTGCCCATGGCTGACTGGTCAAGGGACATGTAACTGCCTCAAGGTGGGCTAACAGTGTCCTTACCTGGGAATTTGGCACTGGAAACAAGAAATTTTTGTTTGGGGCTGGCCCTGTGGCTGAGCTGTTAAGTTCGTGCACTCCACTTCAGCAGCCCAGGGTTTCACCAGTTCAGATCCTGGGCGTGGACAATGGCACGGCTTATCAGGCCACGCTGAGGCAGCGTTCCCCACAGCAGAGCCAGAAGGACCTACAACTAGAATATACAGCTATGTACTAGGGGGCTTTGGGGATAAGAAGAAGAGAAAAAGGAAGATTGGCAACAGTTGTTAGCTCAGGTGCCAATCTTTAGAGAAAAAGAAAAAAAAAGAAATTTTGGTTTTAGTATGGGCTGGGCTCTTTGAGCAGAGCAAATGTAAAAATTTAAGAACAATTGACTGAGCAGCAGAGAAGAACTAAAAAGATCCATAGATGTTATAGATGAGAAATAGTTCATTTCCTGGTTCCAATTCCTTTCTGAGGCTAGTTGAATCCCCCTTCATGTTCTGTAAGAAACTTCTTTATCCTTTGTGGAAGACTTCATCTCAAGCCACAAACTGAGACATGCAAGACAAGACACAATCTCATTTCTTATAATTCAACCTAATTTTGGAGTTGGAACCCTCATTCCACCATGGTTAGAGTGGAAAACAAAACATAGCTTGCTGCCCACCCCCACTCCCTAGAGCTTGAGCGGACACATCAGAGGGTCCACCAGGGCCTCTGTCAATGGTCCTCACAGATTGCACTGACATATCCCTTGCCTCTGTCCGTGGGTCCCTTTAGGTCTGGTGGCTTTCTGATGTTTCCATGTTGTGTTCAGGCCATGGGACTATTTTGGGAAGCTGCCCAAGTCCCCATATGCCTTGATGCTCCATGCTTATTCTTCCCTGAGAGCTTGCTGCCTCCCTGACCAAGCTGCAAGGAGCAGGTCTCTCTGACTCCTCACGACTCTGGAGAACTTCATTCATTCTGGGGGGATCCCGGCTCCTCTGACTACTGCCCCCTCCCCTCCCTGCTGATTTTCCAGGATGCTTTGAATATACTCAGAACTCTTGAGCAAGACTGGATTCAAATGCTGGCTCTACCACTTGCTAACTCTGTAACCTTGGGTGAATTACTTAGCCTCTTTGTGTCTCAGTTTCTTCCTCTGAAAAACAGTGATAATAATAGTTCTTGCTTGCCTTCATTTAGGTTCCCCTAGAAGCAGATCCCAAGACAAAGATTTGCGTGCAGGTAGTTATTTTGGAGGTGATCTCATGACACACTAGTAAAAGTGTAAGGAAGTGAGACAACGAAAAAGGTCAGTCAAGGGAGCATCATCAAGCCGGTTACCACCATGGCTAACTGGAGGCTCAGTCCCACTGGGGAACTCTATATAGTGTAGAGCAAGGTTGGCAAACTGGCTTGGGCCATAAAACAAAGTTTTATTGGAACAGCCACTCCTGTTCATTTACATACGGTCTGTGGTTGGTTTCATGCTGCAAGAGCCAAGCTGAGTAGTTGAGACAGAGACTGTATGGGTTACAAAGCCTAAAATATCTATTGTCTGGACCTTTACAGAAAAAGTTCGCCAACTGCTGATGTAGAACCTGCATCAGAGTTATCCCAGCCTAGGGGAAAAGAAACTAGGGAATTTGTCCACCAAATCCCTGTCTGTCATTGGTTGAGGGCTGCTTCCAGGGGCATTAACTCCGGCACTTCTGGCCCTGCCCACGGAGGCCTGAGGAGGGCTTGGGCAGCCAAGCCCTCAGAGTCACCCGTGTTCAAATCAGAAGTGTTCACTGTGTAGAAGCGAGTGCTGAGGAGATATGGACACTGACAGTACCAGCTCTAACCCCTCATTGGGTTATCATGAAATATAATACAGGGAACTCTTAACACAGGGTCTGCTCAAAGTATGTGTTCAGTAAATATTGGTCATTATTATTGTTCTTATCACATCCTTCCGTGGAGACATAGTGAGAACTCTAAATCCTCCTAAAGTAGAAGTACAGGCTTCTTCAGCTTTCAGCCTCGCCATATACCTCCTTTGTGTCAGCCACCATCTTGCAAGTGGGGGTAGGAGGTGCCGGAAAAAGGAAAATAAAAATCATGATTTAAGATCTCAAAAATATCCCAGTTATATTTATTCCCTATGCTTAGTTTTTTTGGTAGTTGTCCAACTAACTCCTGCTGGTTTCTGTTAATTGATCAGAGAGGCCCCGACACCACACCCTCAGCCTCCTCCAGTTATTCTTTCTGTGTATAGTTGTCTTGGCTTGGGCCGTATGGGTTGAGTGAACCCAACCCTACTCTTCTGGCCACAGATGATTGGACCAGGGTTTGGTGCCTGAGCCAAAGGAGTTGACTATAGGGAATAAGCCCCAAACGAGTTGATTGTAAGGGAAGCCAACTGTTCTGTGTTGGCTTGCAAGGAAAGTCTGTCAAATTGGGTGGTTCAATATTGGATGGTGGCAAAATGGGCCTTCCCTCCAGAGCTTTCCCTTCTATCTGTGAGACAATGTGACAGGGAATATTAGGCGTTCCTGTTTTTAAAAGCCTCTTGGCTATTCCTATCAAGTTCTGGGACTTTCTTGGAGGAGAAGGCACCCTTCTCCAGACCCTGCTGGCTTCTCAGTCCCTCTCTCTTCCCTAGAAAATCAGCTTCCAGTCTCCAAGTGCCCTTTCAGGCAGGGAAGTTCGGTTCCCTTTCCCTCCTTCAAGCCATCTCTGGGCTTACCTTTGCACAGACAAAATCTTCCCGAAGTGCTCTGTTGTGTAAAGGCCCATCTGCCAGCTCTCCATCTCTTCTGTGGTACTAAGTCCTGGCAGGAATTTGAAATTACAGCCCTTCCCTCACCACAGTCAGGTTCTCAGGCATGGCTCTCTTCCCGGCTCTTCCTTGTACTGAAGAAAGAACTAACACACATATTCTTCCTGTCGAGAATTATTTCATCCTACGTCCTTAGAACACAGAATTTGTTTTTTGCTATTTTTAAAATATATTTTTTTCCCACTTTAAAAATTAAGGTATAATTCACATGCAACCAAATTCACCCTCTTTAGTGTCAAGTTCTGAGAGTTTTGACAAAAATATACAGATGTGTAACCACCATCACAATCAAGATAGAAAAGAGTTCCATCACTCCCTCAATTCCCGTGCCCCTTTGTGCTGAACCCTTCCCCCCACCCCAGCCTCTGGCAACCTCTTGTCTGCCTTCTGTCCCCTATAGTTTTGCATTCTCTATAATGTCAAATAAATGGAGTCACACAGTACGTAGGCTTTTAAGTCTGGCTTCTCTCACTTAGCATAAGGCGTTTGAGATTCATCCATATTGTTGTATCAGTCCTTCATTTCTTTTTATTGTTGAGTAATATTCCATTGTATGCAAACATCACTGTTTATCCATTCCCTAGCAGAAGGACATGTGGGTTGTTTCCAGTTTTAAGCCATTACCAATAAAGCCTCTGTCAATATTCTTGAATAGGTTTTTGTATGAACATGGATTTCATTTCACTTTGGGCACGTATCCAAGAGCGGGGTTGCTGGGGAGCAAGGTAACTGTATGTTTAACTTTATTGGAAACTGGCAAACCATCTTCCAAAGTGGTTGTACAGTTTTGCATTCCCACCAGCATTGTACGAGAATTCTGCTATTGTGTTCTGTGTCCTCGTCAGCACTTGGTATTGTCAGTTTTATTGTTTTGTTCGCCATTCTAAAAGGTGTGTAATGGTGTCTCATTGTGGTTTTAATTTGTGTTTCCCTAATGACTAATATGCTGAATATCTTTTCATGTGCTTATTGGCCATTCATATATTTTATTTGGAGAAATGTCTGTTCAAATCTCTTGGCCTTTTAAAAACTGGGTGGTTTATTTTCCTATTATTATGTTTTGAGAGTTCTTTATACATTCTGAATATAAGTCCTTTATCAGATATGTGATTTGAAAATTTCTCCCAATCCCTGGCTTGTCTTTTCATTTTTTTAACTATGTTTTCCAAAGAGCAGAAATTCTGAATTTTGCAGTCACTTTTTGCTTTGTTTTAAGAGGCAATTTTTTTCTTCCCACTTCTGTTCAGTTGGTATACAGAAGGCAATGGAACTTCCCACAGAGGCAGAGCCAAGCAAGCAGGACACACACTGACAAGCAGGTCTGCCCATCATTTTCCCATCTGCCCAAACCCTGAAGGTCAAGGGGCATCCTGGGGGGCGGGTCCAGCACCCCAGGTCTTCTACCCTGTCTCTACTCAGTGTGTGATCCTCAGACCAGTAGCATGAGCATCCCCTGGGAGCTTGTTAGAAGTAGGGTATCTGCATTGAATGGGATGCCCAGGTCATTAGTACACACTTTAGAGGTTGAAGAATACCAACAACAACAGGCCCACGTGAAATAAGGAGGCATACTTTCACAGATGCCAAAGAGGGGGAACCTTGTAACTTGTGGGCATTGAAGTGTCCTAGTAATGCCAAGGGCCTGGGAGATCACTGCAAAGAAGAGTCACACTAGCATGTATGCCAGGGTGAGCTGGCCTGGGGTGGGACTGTTTCTGAGTGTCGTGCAGGCAGCAGGGCAAGTCCACATGGGCAGTCAAGGAGCGACCAATAAGACTGTGTAAGCCCCAGTCCGTGCTCTCCAGGCGAGTGTTGCCCGTGGTCATTGAGAGGCTATCGTCCGGTAAGGGATGCCCAGGCACCTGCCCTCACAGGTGGAGCAGTGAGCCGTTCCCATTTCAGAAACCTCTCAGCCTTGCACACCATTCTGGCCTCTACTCCGTACCTGTGTGACCAAATTAGCATTATTTTTTGACTGTCTGGCTTCCTTTCTTTGGGGAACTGCCCCTCCCCAAATCCCTGTGGTTCTGGTGGGTTGTCAGTCAGGGCATCCACCTTCCCTGTCCCCTGGTTCCTGTTTAGTTCTAGGTCTAGATGGTCAGCTTCCTCTTTGAATCTGTATTTACTCAGTATCGTCCCAAAAGATTCCTTTTTTGCCTAACTTAGTCAGTCTGGGTTCATGCTTGCAACCAAAGAGTTCTCACGGACATACAACCTTATGAGACAGTTGCCCAGGGTATCTGCTAAGGGTACTTGGCCTGGGGAGGAGCAGCATCTTTATGAAATATAGGACAAATCGCCTCTTCCTTCCAGCCAATAGAGCTCCCTTGGAGGAGCTTGTCAAGCAAAACGCAGACTGGAGTTTAGTTCTCACTCATCCCCTCAGCTGTGTGCTCTTGTGCAGTACACATTCTGCACAACCTTACATGGAGACCCTGTTGTCAGGTCCCCCACCCTTCCCTTCAGCTCTCTCCTCCTTCCACCTTCCAGTTTACTTCTTCTAGGTTTTTACTTGAGCAACATCAAGGCTGATAACAACTATGTTTACTTTTGTAACTATAGTTAAGCCTTCCGTGCTTTGTCCATCTGTTGATTCTAAAAGTTGAAACTCAATTAACAGTGTTTACCTTATATATTGTGAGTATATAAATATCTTTTATTACAGAGCTAGTAATCACTAAGATTACGTTTCCTTTCTTGAACTATTTTTAATTACTTTTTGAAAAACAGTATTTGATACATTCACAGGATTATTTGAAATATATATTAGTTATAAATGATTCTAATATGATGAATATCTGTGCATCTATCACTCAGGTCAGGAACCAACAACCTATTGCCAACAATGAATGTGTCTATGCCTGTATAATCCTCTCCGTCCCATTCCCCTGCCTCCCCTGAGATATAACCTCCATATTGTATTGTGTGTTTATCATTCCAGTGCCTTAGAAAAAATGCAATCGTAATAGTATGTGTGCATAAACAATGTTTTGTTTAGTTGTGCTTTTCATGAGCTCTATAAAAATGGTGTCTTATTTATGCTATGTTTTTCAGGAAACGTTATATTTCCAAGATTCTTCCATGTTGTTTTGTGTTGCTGGTAGAACTGCTTACTATGATTAGAAACACTTAGAAACTCCAGGAAAAACTAAAATGAATCCAAGGAAGAAAACACAATCCTCACAATCACGAGCTCTGCCTGAATGAGATTCCCAGTAGGGCCAGCACCCCTTCTTCCAGCTCTGCTCCCTCCTGGTGTAGAACACACATGAGATTATCCCAGCCTACTTACTGCCAGAGGCAAAGGAATTTGTCCACGACTCCTTATCTGTCGTTAGGTCATGGGTCAGCCTCCAGACCAGAGTGCTCCTGACAGTGGCTGATTGACTGTTCTAAGGATGGCATCTGTCCCTTCAGGGCCAGAGAATGTTTGGACTTGGGACTGAGAGGTCTCTGCTCTGGCAGCTGAAGACGTAAGATGGATAGCCCGGGGTGGAAGTCCCATGCTTCTCACTGTGTGGAGCAGAGGAGAGGCGGAAGGTGGTCTGCAGAGGAAGAGCAGAACACTCAAGGAGAAGTGGGACCCGAGTCAGGGTGCTACGGTCTAAATGTTCGTGTCCCCTCAAAATCCATATGTTGGAAAACTAACCCCCAACGTGATGGTATCGGGAGGTGGGGACTTTGGCAGGTGATTAGGTCACAAGAGTAGAGCCCTCATGAATGGGGTCAGTGTACCTATAAAAGAGACCCCACAGAGCTTCCTAGCCTCATGTGAGGACACAGCAAGTAGTCTGTGACCTGGAAGCAGGCCCTCACCCAACCATGATGGCTTGTTAAACAACAATTTAACAATAATAACTACCACTTTCTGGGAATTTACTATGAACCAGTGAGTGCTTTTTGTTCTTTTTCTCATTCACTGCTGTACCAAGTCTGAGACAAGTAATATGGGCCCCTGTGTTACAGATGAGCAAACTGAGGCCTAAAGAAGCTCTATGACTCATCCAGGTTCACAAGGCTATTACGAAGAAGGCCCATTATTCATCCCTCTGCCAGTTGAACACTAAACCCTGTGTTCTTACCCACATGTACTACTGTCTCCACAAGGTAAACCAACTCTTGTGGAATTCAAACTCACATCACAAATTGAAAGGCTTTCTCCTCGTGAGAATTCCAGGGGCTAATTGAGGTCCCGAAGCCACCATGACCAGGCTACCACTGGTGACTCGGATTATTTTCCTATAACGTAAAAGGGAGGTTAGAAAAAACCTTCTCGGACTGCGTGACACACTCTCATACCCTCCCTACTCCAGATTAGCCCTCAGCTAACTACTGCCAATCCTCCTCTTTTCGCTGAGGAAGACTGGCCCTGAGCTAACATCCGTGCCCATCTTCCTCCACTTTATACATGGGTCACCTACCACAGCATGGCTTTTGCCAAGCGGTGCCATGTCAGCACCCAGGATCCGAACCAGCAAACCCTGGGCCACCGAGAAGCGGAATGTGCGAACTTAACCGCTGCGCCACCAGGCCGGCCCCTATCCTCCCTCTTCTGGTGCTGAGAAAAAAAGAAGGGAAAAAGATAAAGAGAAGAAGGCAGGGAATGGCCACCGTGGACTGGAAGTGAGTAGAGGTACGAGAAGGGTGAAGGGGCTGGGGGAAGCAGTGAGAAGGTTGATTACACCTTTGGAAGACTTTTCCAGATGCTTTCCTGGGGACAAGCTCCTCCCTCCTCCTGCTCCATCAGTGAGCATTTGGGGTTGGGATTAGGGTGGAGGAAATGGGAAGAGAAAAGGAGACTGACCCTTGGAGACCATTACCTTTAGGCGAATGTAGTCATCAGATCCACAGTTCTGAGCTGGGACTGAGGAGCAGGGTTTCAAGAAAGAGTTGGAGCTGCAGTCATGGGCCCCCTCCCCCATTTGACAGCCCCCCAGGAATATTCCATGGCAGTTAGAGGCCCTGTCCTGCTGAATGGCTGTTTTCTTTCCAGATCCCAGGCCCAGTGGTGGCAAGTGCTCTGCCTGATGAAAGTATTTAAAAGATGAGCGACAACTGAGCCTGGCAAAGGAAGGGGGAGATGGGGTGGAGGATAGAAAGGGAGACAGGGGGTGCTCAGGATGGGGACAGGGGACTTTAGGGGCGAGTTCACTGGGTCAGGAGGAGAAAGCAATGAGCATCACAGGCCCGGATAGGAAGGGGAGGGCTGGGAAGCAGGATGAGGTGGAGGATGGCCTGGGACAAGATGAGGAGGTGCAGAACTCCCACTCTTACTCTGGCAGCAGCAGACAGTTGCCTATGGAGCCCTGCATGGAGCCTCGCAGGGACTCTGTGTTTCCTCCGCAATGGAGAATTACACACAGCTCCCGCCAGCTAGCGCAGGTGTTGGCCTCAGGGCTCAGCCTGATCGCCTTCATCCTGCTGCTGGTCATGCTCTTCTCCAAGAAATGGCTGTGCCTCTCTAAGAGCCGCTTCTACCAGCGCTGGCCCACAAATGTTAGCAAGAGAATCTACACGTCGGCCCATTTAATGTCCATGGGGCCCCTACAGATCTGCAAATCCAAGAGCTGTTCCAACTCAGAGAATGGGAAAGGTGAGACCCTCCAGCCCCCCAATCTCACCCTGGGCCTCCAACCTGCTTTGGCCTCTACATCTGCACCCCTGTATTCTCGTCCCTCCTTCTGGCCATCCCCAGTATATTGGCCAGCAAGATGGTCCCTGGCACTGAGACTGCCAAGGATCATTTCTCCTCCCCAAGCCTGGCCAAATTGATTTGCTGGACCCAATGAAAAGTGTCACTGCTCCAATAAGGCTCAGAGCCAAGTCTGTGCTTATGAAAATGTTGTGAGGGGCAGGGACTCTCAGCACATGTGGATCACTCGTTAATCACATAATTCACTGCTATCCTGGGAGAAGAGCTGCAGCGACGGGGGTGTCCTTCCTCTGGGCTTGCACACCCAGAGCTCTGGGAGGAGTCCCCAGAACACTCTCCCCAGGCCAGGTCCCCGCCACTGTTCTTTCCCTCGGCCTCAAGCTTTGCTTTTCTGGGCCGACTCCAAGTTTCCAGCGTTGGTTTCCATGTTCCTTCCTGGCGTGCTTGCAGCTGCTTCATTGCCCACTCCTGTTCATCTCCCTCATGCTGTCCTCTCACCTCTCAGGTTTAGGCCTCTTTTCTCACCTCTTGTGGAAACCCAGAGCTTTGGATGCCCGATTTCCATTTCTTCACTCTTGTTAACACTTAAAAAAGTTACATAGCTATTATTTTCTTCCATTAAGAAAGCAATATATCCTTATTACAATAAACTTGGGGAAACAAGAGCTATCACTTATCCCACACTTATTCTATTTGCTGTTTAATCCTCAGTCAGCCCTAAGACAGAGAGAAAATTATTCTTATTTTACAGATGAGAAAATTGAGACTCAGATTAAGTACCTTGCTCAGGGTCACAAAGCTATTAGGATGAGCCACATGAAATGGCCAATATTTGACCTCTTTTCACCTACAGAAAGAGCAAATTCGTATGGATCAACCAAATAATGGCAGGTTTAGAATTATAACTCAGGTGTGTCTGGCTCCAAATCTCATGTAAGCAACCTTGCTCTATGATGCTACTCAAAGACAGCCACTAGTAGCAGTCCGTTGAGCACTCAATTTTTTCCAGGCTTTATTTTTTTTTTAATCAAACAAGTTTTGAATGGTTTTTACATAGTTGTAATCGCTCTTCATAAATAATTTTATATCTTTTAAATTACTTTTATTTAAAATTTATCTTTATGAGATATGAAAAACTTTTCCATATTATAAGTGACTATAATTTTCAACTTAATAGATTTATCACCTTTTACTTGACTATTTTATTTACCTATTCTTAGCCAATTTATTTCCAATTTCATTTTGAGAAAAAAAAAGAAACAAAATTTGTTAATCACCAAGTTTTTCTATGTTTAGTATAAACTCTTTGGTATAGATTTCTCAAAGTGGGTTTACTGAATCAAAGAGTATAAATATTTAAGGTTCCCAATAAAATTTTCCATGTTGCTTTCAAAAAGTATGATAGCAATTCATGCTTCTACTAACAATGTATGAGAAGGCTTATTTCATTATACCTTTGCTAGCAATGACTGTCAACTTTAAGTATATAAATATATAATTTTTTCTGATTTAAATAAGTTGTACAGTTATTGTGGAAAATGCAGAAAGTTTAAGAGAGAAAATTAAAATCCCCTAAAATGTCCCCACACATATATAATCATATTGACATTGTAATGGATTTACTTCCAATCTTTTGTGTATCTATATAATACAAATAAATATATATATTTTCTTTTTATAAATATATATTTTTTTATTTTTTCAAAATTGTGATCATTCTACAGGCTCTGTGTTGCAAACTCCACTTTTCAGTTGTAAGTGTTTACTCATATCATTAAATAATTATTCTAAAACATCATCTATATTTCAAATTTATTTGATTGGTAATATATGAACCGAGTGAAAATTTAAAAAGTACAAACAATTGCCTAGTGAAGTGAATCCCCCCTCTGGCTTCCAGACTCCCTCCCCGGTTTTTCCTTTCTTCCTAGAGACATGCTATTCAGAGACAAGCATCCATCATATCATCACTTTTAATGAACACATAATAATCCAAAGTATGGGTACCCTATAATTTATTTAACAAATCTCTTGTTGGACATGTAAATACCTCTGCAAAGAAGATCCCTATACATAGATTTTGGTGCAGATCTTGGATTATTTCCTTAACATAAATTCTAATAAGAGTCATTGCTGGGTCAAAGGGCCTTAACAATTTAGATTTTTAAACATATTTTGTGCCCGATTATCCACCAGAAATGCTGCCCACCAGCAGTGTGTGAGAGCACCTCTTTTTCTCTAAATCCTTTCCTACACTAAGTGTCATCAATTTTGTTTTGATCTTTGCCAATTCGGTGTTAAGCTTTTTGTGTTTATTGGACATTCGTCTATCTTCTTTTGAGAACTGCAGTTCAAGATCTTTGCCCACTTTTTCTATTGAGGTATTCACTTTCATATGGTTGGGATAATCAAACAATCTCCATGTCAGGAATCTTTGCCTATTTAATAAGTGAAAGTGATATTTCACTGTTATCCCAAATGTGCATTTCTTTGGTTATTAATGAGCCTGAACATTTTCTCATATTTGCTCATTTGATTATATTTTGTCTTTTGTGAACCCTTCGTTCATCTTGTTTTCTCATTTTCCACAGATAGTTTTAAGCTGTGGACAAATCACCCAGTCTTTTTGGTGGCCAAGATAACCTTCGCCCTGGCTGTGGTGCTGGGCTTCGTCCTCACCATCTGGTTGCACCTGCCATACCTACCTGGTCTTCAGAGATCTCCCTCCTTTGGCTGGACTGGGACTGTCATGAGCTTCTGTGAAGGTGCCCCCCAGTTCTGGAAAAGGTCCTTAGTTTCTCCTAACCCACATCTTCCTGACACTTCTCCCTCTTCCTTTCTTTGGGAGTGGGGTAGGGGTTTTGTGAGTGATGGGAGAACAGAACTGGTAGTCGCTGACTGAGAATTGAGTTCCATCATTTCCCAGTCACTGGAGAGATAAAAGTGGAGGGGGTGATTCCCATGAACCACTGGTGCTGTGTACTCTGTGTGCACTGGTGGGAGTTGTGGTTTGTGACTGTAGCTCAGCAGATGAGAGAGTCCCTATGGGGGATTCGTGGGTGAGAATAAGACCTCTCCACTTCCTGTCTCCTAGTTACCTTCATTTTCTCCACCTTGATGTTGTTCCCTATTAACATCTGGCTGTTCGAGTTGAAGAGGAATTTATCAGTCCCCTTGGGCTGGAGCTATTTCATTGGTTGGCTGGTGTTTATACTATACATCACCTGCGGTGAGCTGCCTAGAGGGCCCTGGGAAGGAGGGGATGTGGGTGGGTCAGGGTAGGGAAAGTGGAGGGAGGGGGCTGTCAATCCCCAGGGATAGGTTCTTAGGGACTTATCTTCCCTTTGGCCTCACCCTGCTTCCCACTTTCCTCCCATTCTCCGACTTTCCTCTCCCCTATCCCCTTGTCCTTTCCCAGCGGTCCTCTGCTACTTCAACCATAAAAGTTTCTGGCGTCTGATTCTGAGCCGTTCCTCTGGTGCCGTGTCCTCCAGCAGCAGTTCCAGCTCAGAACTTTCAGTCCAGCAGTTCCAAGACTCTGTGAATAAGCAGATTGTCTCAAACACCTCTGTCAACCAGGAGGAAGTCCTGGATCCTGAGCAAAAGAAGGCATCTCTATAAACTTTTCTGAACTCCTGACACCAAGTTCTGTCCATTCGTCTGAATCCCTCTCCTCATCCTTCCACACAACGCTTGAGGAATTAGAGAGGGAGTATTTTAGGCCAGATTTGCATTCCTCTTCCTTGTTCCTGCCTTGCCTACAGCTTGTTTGATGTGGAATAAATTGTCTCTCTCTCTCTGTCTTTTTTTTTTTTTTATCATGTCTAGCAATTGTTGAGACAATACAACAATTGAAAGAGAGAAAGGGAGAAAGAACAAGTTTGTTTCCCGGTTCTTCCTGCCTAAGAGCCTTTTGGCATCCTTCGGTCCCCAAACCTGCCCAACCTCTCCCATAGCACTTGTACAAAGGCAAACACCTCTCGAGAGCTAAGCCTCTTTAAACTTTGTTACCCCTACCCCAACATTTGTTAGTTAGTAGGTATGGGGAGTGATCAGGAGAGAGATACTGCTTACGAACATGCTGGCTTATTCACGGCAAAGGATTCAAGAGCAAAATGGCCCCAGGGTAAGAGGCAGGTTAAACAATGAGAGCACAACAGGGGCTGTGGCACCAGCACCAACTCCAACTTTACTTCCACCACCACCACCTCTACCACCACCATCACCTCCACCACCACCTCCAATACCTCCACTACCACCACCACTATTAACTCCACCACCTCCACCACCACCTCCACCACTACCACCACCTCCACCACCTGCCCCCAACCCCAACTCCACCACCACTACCTCCATCTCCACCATCACCACCTTCACCACCACAACCTACACCAACACCTTCAATTCTACTGCCCCTACTCTGTGGCTACTACAACTCTCCACTGAAGCCTCCCATGCCCTCCACCCTGTAATAGCAGGAATAAAACATAACAAGAAAGGAAAACATTAGGGTCAGGCCCTAAGATCAAAAGACAAGTTGCACATTTGGGTTACAAACCTAGTCTCACAAAGACATGCAGCAGCCGGCTTAGGCAGCACTGGTGATGACTATTGGGATTCAGACATCTTGCACAGAAAGGCTGGCCTCTCAGGAGAGTACCTATGACTGATCTTTGTCATGCAATATTCCCCCAGATGGAGGCATGAGGCTAGCCAACTAGAGGAGCTCAGGGACAAACTGTGAGTGGACTGGTTTTGTTAAAAATATATGTATTATTCAGTTGAACCATAGGATACTACTGTTTTAGCAGTCAAATGTTCGCAATTTCATGTGGTTCAACCTACTCTATATGATTGATTTCTGTTTGATTTGAGACTTTTTTTATGTGTGTGTGTGAGGAAGATTGGCTCTGAGCTAACATCTGTTGCCAATCTTCCTTTTTTTTTTTTTTGAGCAAGATTAGCCCTGAGTTAACTACTGCCAATCCTCCTCTTTTTGCTGAGGAAGACTGGCCCCAAGCTAACATCCGTGCCCATATTCCTCTACTTTATACATGGGACACCTACCACAGCATGGCTTTTGCCAAGTGGTGCCATGTCTGCATCCGGGATCTGAACCGGCAAATCCCAGGCTGCCGAGAAGCGGAACGTGCCAACTTAACCGCTGTGCCACCAGGCTGGCCCCACCAATCTTCCTCTTTTTGCTTGAGGAAGAGTTCCCCTGAGCTAACATCTGCGCCAGTCTTCCTCTATTTTGTATGTGGGATGCCACCATAGCATGGCTCGATGTGTAGGTCCACCTGCCTGGGATCTGAGCCCACAAACCTCGGACCACTGAAGTGGAGTGTGTGAACCTAACCACTACGGAACTGGGCTGGCCCCAGTTTGAGACTCTTTTAAGATTCTTATTCTCACTATAACTGACGAACATTTGTGGAATTCCTAACCTAGTTCCGAGCAAATTGTCTGAGCAAAGAACCTAATACACGGGCTTGAAAATTAGGCACAGCAGACATTCCACAAATCCCTATACAGTGTCCTCCATGTATTCCTCCCCTTGATAGCTGGCAAGGATTTATTGGAGGACTTATTGAATTAGTTATCCTAGGGGAAAGGACACCAAACAAAGAGATGTCATGACCTCTGACTTAGAGATATATATAATCTAATTGGAGAAAGTGACTTTGCAATTTTGTAGGAGTCATCAACTTAAATGCCTAAGGGGGCTATGCAGATAACATAAATAAATAAAGGGGGCCACTGTTCCAGTCTGTATATCATTTTCCTCTCTTGATAAAGACCTAGTATATTATCTATTGCTGGATAGCAAACTATCCCAAACTTAGTGGCTTAAAATAATAAATACTTATTATCTCACATAGTTTCTGGGGTCAGGAATCTGGGAGCAGCTTAGCTCAACGGTTCTTGTTCAGGGTCTCTCATGAGGTTATGGTCAAGATGTCAGCTGGGGCTGCAGTCATCTGAAGGCTTGACTGAGGCTGGTGAGTCTACTTCCAACATGGTTCACTTATATGGCTGTTGGCAGGAAGCCTCAGGTCCTTGTCACAAGGGCCTCTTTGTGGGCTGCTTGAGTGTTCAGAGTTACCTTCCTCCAGAGTGAGTGATCTGAGAGAGTAATGAGGAGTCGTCTCCAGTGCCTTTTCTGACATAGCCTTGGAAGAAATACACTGTCACTTCCACCATATTCTATTTGTTGGAAGCAAGTCACTAAGCTCACCCCACACTCAAGGGGAGGGGAACTCAGCTTCACCTCTTGAGGGGAAGAGTATCAAGAATTCATGGATATATTTTATTTTATTTTATTTTTTAAAAGATCGGCACCTGAGGTGACAGCCGTTGCCAATTTTCTTTTTTGTCCTTCTTCTTCTCCCCAAAGCCCCCCTAGTACATAGTCATATATTGTAGTCGTGAGTGCCTCTGGTTGTACTATGTGGGATGCTGCCTCAGCATGACCTAATGAGCAGTGCCATGTCCATGCCCAGGGTCTGAATCGGCGAAACCCTGGGCCGCTGAAGCAGAGCGCATGAACTTAACAACTGGCCCACGGGGCTGGCTCTGTGGATGTATTTTAAAACCACCACAGTCTGCCTTCTGATAACAAATTACTCTCCTCTCATGTGCAAAATACACTCACCTCTCCCAAGGCCCCCAGGTCTCATCCCATTACAGCATTGACCAGCTGAAAGTTTAGAATCTTGCTATGTTGTAAAAGGGGGAGTAAGTCCACATGGCTGTGGAAATTACCCTCAGAGAAGCACAGAGAATTAGAGGATTTATTATACTCCCAGGTCCTAGGAGAGGGAGACAAGGCATGCCATGCAGGGGGCCACATGGAAGGAGTACCGAGGGAGAAGGCTCAACCAAGTGGATGGGGAGCCAAGAGAGTGAGGACCTATGGGCAAGCGCCTTTATTGGGTCATGGTGGAGTACACAAGCGAAAGGCATGAGGGGATTTCACTGGTGCCTTTGAATGTCACTAGGTCACAGTCAGGGGAAGGCAAGAAGGGGAACTTGTGGTAGGAACTAGCCTAGTGTGCTTGGTCACACAGCAGAGTGCTCATGGTCTGTAGGTGGGAATGTTGAGGCATCAGGAAAATATGAAGTTAAAATTTTTTTCTTTTAAAGCTTGGCCCCTGAGTTAACAAGTGTTGCCAATCTTCTTTTTTTTTTTTTCTGCTTTTTCTCCCCAAATCCCCCCAGGACACAGGTGTATATTTTAGTTGTGGGTCCTTCTAGCTGTGGCATGTGGGATGCCTCCTCAACGTGGCCTGGTGAGCGGTGCCATGTCCACGCCCAGGATCCGAACCAGCGAAACTCCGGGCCAGCGAAGTGGAGCGCGCAAATTTAACCATTCAGCCATGGGGTCGGCCCCCTGAGGTTTTAAAAATTTATAATACGTTTGCCATCTGTTATGGGCTGAATTGTGTCCACCCCCCAAGTTTATATGTAGAAGCCCCAACTCCTAGTACCTCAGAATGTGACTGCATTTGGAGATAGGGTCTTTAAAGAGTTGATTAAGTTAAAATAGGGCCATTAGGGTGGGCCCTAATCCAATCTGACTGGAGTCCTTATGAGAAGAGGAAATTAACAATACAAAGAGACACCAGGTATGTGCATGCACAGAGAAAAGACCATGAGAGGACCCAGTAAGAGGGTGGCTATCTGCAAGCCAAGTAGAGAGGACTCAGAAGAAGCCAAACCTTTCTACACTTTGATCCTGGACTTCTCGCCTCTGGAACTGTGAGAAAATAAATTTCTATTGTTTAAACCACCCAGGCTGTGATATTTTGTTATGGCAGCCTGAGCAAACTCATACACCATCTAAATTAGGTCCTGGTGCACATGAGCTGTTTGGATGTACCTCCTTAAGTACAGCTACTCAAATAAAGTTCCTCTCAATCTGAATACCTGTGAACTAAAGACAAGGGACCATCCCCTACATACCCAAAATGCAATGATGGGACAGTAAAAGGATAACCATCATGAGTATTATTTAAAAAGGGGGGAAATGAGAGGCACCTGGGAATCACTGGTCCATAGCAATTCTGAAATCCAGCTAGGAAAATGTTGAAATTTCCTTGATTAGGACTCAGTCTTATTTCTGCCCAGGAGTGAGTCTCCACGACTTTTTTTTTTTAAAGATATAAATCACATAAAATTCACCATTTTAAAGTACATAATTCAGTGGTTCTAGTATATTCACAATTTGCAGCCATCACCACTATCCAATTCCAGAACATTACTCCCCATTCCTCATTCCCTCCAGCCCCCGGAAACTAATAATCTGCTATCTGTTTCTATGGATTTGCTTATTCTGGACATTTCGTAAAAATGGAACCATACAATATGCGGCCTTTTGTGTCTGGCTTCTTTTGCTTAGCAAAACATTTTCAAGGTTCATTCATGTTGTAAAATGTATCAGTACTTCATCTTACATTTTATGGCTGAATAATATTCCATTGTATGTATGTAAGTTGATGGGCATTTGGGTTGTTTCCATCTTTTGGCTATTATGAATAACGCTGCTATGAACATTCATATACAAGTTTTCAGACGTTTTCAATTCTCTATACAACTAGGAGTGGAATTGCTGGGTCACATGGTAACTATATGTTTAACTTCTTGAGGAACTGTCAAGCTATTTTTCAAAGAAACTGCACCATTTTATTCTCCTAAAAGTAATGTGTGTTCAATTTCCCTACATCCTTGCCAAAACTTGTTATTGTGCATCTTTTTTATTCTAGTCATCTTAGTAGAAGTGAAGTGGTACCTCACT